TTTTATGGGTTATTCTTCATCTCAATCTATGATTTCTTCTTCAATTATGAGTAGCTTAACCCTTTAGCTAGGGTTGTGGCTCAACCTTTGTGTGGGTATTTAATGGGTCTCTTATTTTAGGGCTTAGATGTTTATGGGTGAATGATATTTGGCCTGTTTTGTGCTTTTAATGTTGAATTGGTGGTTGCAAACACTAATTTGTGCCTTTTTGACTTAGGCTCTTCTTGAGAAAGAGAGTCCAAGTCTAGGAAATTCAGGCCAACAAGGAATTAGGGTGCATTCGATCTCATTCAAGAGATTGATAACCCCAATTAAAGAGTTAAACGTAGAGATAGTAATACTCGACTTGAGCCAATTTTGCTTGCACAAATTTGAACACCCAATTGGACTTGAGAAAGCCAATTAGGGCATAGTCACTCAAACTACCGAGAGGTATAGAGTGAGTAGTTTCGTACATTGGCTATATCACGATCCCAGCTATAACAAATTGCCCTAAGTTTTAGATCCCGTTAGATACTCACCTAGGAGCAAGTCACTTCCCTAGTGCCTCTTTACCAATCAAGAAAACCCTAAAAAAAAATATCATACTTATAATTTCCTGCATCATTAGTATAAAATTTAGAATAGTTAAAAAATCAAAGCATGTTTGGAAGTGTAAACAATTACATCGCGCATTGCTAGTTTAGATAGGAACCCAATCCCAAACTTATTCTAGCTCCCTGTGGATTCGATCCCGACCTTCTCGGGTAAAAGCTGCATCGACCGCTCTTGCCACTCTATAGTGGTGTAGGGTTGGACCCGATTTTTTTTGGCACCGTTGCCGGGGAGCTAAACGATTTTTGCTATCTATCTATCTATCTAGTTTTGTGTTTTGTTTTTATTTCCTTCTAGTTTACTGACTTGGGCGAATCATCAATACAGGTATAAAAATGACAAACAATGCTCCTCTTGGAGATATTCCACCGGGGGAGGAGGTTGATGATAATGGAGAGGAGGAGGTACCTCTAGTGCCTCAAGGACAAAGGAGAGGCCGACAGGCCAATGACTATATTCCAGACCCTCCCCCGCCACCTCCAAGAGCTGTACCTTGTGTGCTTCCAAACCAGGGCTATGCCAGTGCAATTGTTCCACCCCGGATCCGGGCGGGCAATTTTCAAATTACCAACGTGATGTTGACTTTATTGGAGCAACGAGGGTACTTCAAAGAAGCTCCCCATCAGAATGCGTACAAACACCTTAAATGCTTCATTGATACCTGTTGGGGAAGCAAGCAGACGAATGTGTTAGAAGATGCATTGCGGTTAAGATTATTCCCTTTCTCACTTCGAGGGAAAGCATTGGACTGGCTGGAGAGACTTCCCAACCATACCATCCATACATGGGATGAGTTCGTGGACAAGTTTATAGAAAAGTTTTTCTCGTCGGGTCACATGGCGACTTTGAGGGATGAGATCTTGGCATTCAAACAGGAGCCCAACGAACCACTTCATGAGATATGGGAGAGATACCAGGCTATGATGAAAGAATGTCCAAATAATGATATGACCGAGGCAATGATACAACAGACATTCTACTGTGGCATTAACACAACAAATCAGTGTATGGTGAACCAGCTCGCAGGGGGGCAATTTCATGAACACACCGTATGATCAGGCTTGTGAGATATTGGATCAGATGGCGGACACTTCCTCAGCTTGGCAAAGTCGAGCTAATGTGCCACAGGGTGATCCCACGGTCATTCACTTGCATAAAGAGCTCCACGACCATGGTCAAGCAATAGCGGAGCTAACAACAACAATGAACCAGTTAGCAAATGCACAATTACAGCAGGTTCAAGCACCACGTCAAGTAAATGCTATGGAGGGTGTCAACATGTTGGTCGACAAAAGGAGACAAAGAGGTCAACAAAGCCAAGGGATTCCAGATCAATATGACCAAGATAGTGGTGGGTTCAACCAAGATAATGGGTATGATGAGCAGAATGAAGAAGTCCAGTACATGAACAATTATCAAGGCCAAAGGGGAAATGCTTCTAACCAACAATAACAATGGAGATCCCAAGGAAATTGGGGGAATCAACAACAACAAGGGAATAGCAACTGGGGGAACAACAACCAAAATCAGAATTGGGGTAATCAGAACAACCAGGGCAACTGGAGTGGCAACAACAACAATTGGGGCGGAAACAACAATCAGGGTGGTTGGAACAATGGCAATCAAGGAGATCGGGGTCAAGGCTTTCAAAGGCCCCCAATGTATCAACAACCAAACAACCTACCCCCATTTCCATCCCAAGGTCCTAGCTCATCAAACAATAAAATGGGGAGGATCAAAATTATGTTTGAACAGATGATGAAAAAGAACGCCGACTCTGATGCGCAATTGGCATCCAACAATACTTCAATCAGAAAAATGAGAACCGGTTTAAGAAATTTATTGACATGATGAAAAGCTCATCAATTAATGTCCCTTTCGTGGAGGCTCTCAAACAAATTCCGGGTTACGCCAAGTTCATGCAAGACTTGGTGACAAGAAGAGATCCATGGATTGTGAGACCATCAAGATGACTCACCAAGTTAGTGCAATTGTGCACTCGATGGCTCCAAAGCTAGAAGATACCGGCGCTTTCACCATTCCATGCACCATTGGGAGTGCAAACTTTGCAAAGGCACTATGTGATTTGGGAGCAAGCACCAATTTGATGCCTTACTCCGTGTTCAAAACTTTGGGTATCGGGCAACCGAGGGCGAATTCAACGAGATTGCAAATGGCGGATAGAACAATGAAGAGGCCGCTTGGTATTATTGATGATGTTCTTGTCCGGGTGGACAAATTTATCTTGCCTGCTGATTTTGTGATTCTCAACTGCGAGGTCGATTATGAGGTGCCTATAATTTTGGGAAGACCTTTCCTTGCAACTGGGAAGACATTGGTTGATGTGGAAGCAGGGGAACTCACTTTCCAGGTGGGTGATGAAAAAGTGGTCTTTCATGTGTGCAAATCAATGAAGCAGCCAAATAGTAAGGAAGTGTGCTCTTTTGTGGATCTTGTCATGGAGGTTATCGGTGATGATACTAGTGCCATGATCAATGTGGAGGATCCTCTAGAAGCGGTATTGTTGAACCTTGATGTCAATGAGGATGAAGGAAGGGTGGTGTGTGTCAATGCTTTACATGGTATGGGGTCTTATTCTTATGAGCCCTGTAAGCTCTCTCTGGATCATGAGAACAGAAAAACTCCCCCAACAAAGCCCTCAATCGAGGAACCTCCCGTGTTGGAGTTGAAGCCTTTGCCTCCACACCTCAGGTATGAATTCTTAGGTCCTATTTCAACTTTGCTAGTTATTCTTTCCTCTTGTCTCACTAACATGCAGGTAGGTGCCACATTGGTGGTGCTCCAAAAACGGAAGAAGGTTTCTACCCCTTACCATCATCAAGCTATTGGGAAAGTTGAATTCTCCAACAGGGAGATCAAAAGCATATTGTCAAAGACGGTGAATGCAAATAAGACCGACTGGTCAAAGAAACTGGATAATGCTTTGTGGGCTTACAGAACTGCTTACAAGACTCCGATTGGTATGTCTCCGTATCGGTTGGTGTTTGGGAAAGCTTGCCATCTCCCGGTTGAGTTAGAGCACAAGGCAATGTGGGCTTTGAGCAAGCTAAATCTTGAATGGGATGTTGCAGCAAATCTCCGTGTGGAGCAACTCAACGAGCTTGATGAGTTCCGGTTTCATGCTTACTCCAGTGCGTCCTTGTATAAGGACAAGATGAAGTACCTACATGACAAGTATGTTCGAGGCAAGGAGTTCAAAGTGGGTGATTTGGTTCTTTTGTTCAACTCCCAATTACGTCTGTTTCCGGGAAAGCTTAAGTCGAAATGGTATCACACCTCCTTTTTTTACTACACCCCCGAAAGGGTATAATAAAGGGAGTTTTTCCAATTAAAGGACAATCAAAACGGGATTTATTATTTAAAGATTCAGAGTCGTCACTTGGGAGATTTATGGTGTCCCATGTCACCGGTTTGAATCCCGAATCGAGGAAAGGATTGACTCTGTTTAACAGTCCGCGCACCAGAAATCCGAGTAAGGAATTCTGTTAACCCGGGAGAAGGTGTTAGGCATTCCTGGGTTCCGTGGTTCTAGCACGGTCGCTCAACTGTCATATTCGGCTTAAATTATCTGATTTTAAACAATTATTAACCTATGTGCAAATTTTAACTTTTAGCTGCTTTTATTATTACTTTTAAAGAGAATTGCAACGTCGTTAAAACACGTCTCGAACCACGTCACATAAATGCACCCGTGGTTTTTGACATATCTTAACATCGTTGAGATTTGGATTTGGGTCACATAAATGCGCACCCGAATTTAGGAAAGTAATATTATTAAACACGCGCCTAAAGCAACTACACGTTTGCACTTTGCGAGGGCCATGGAATTTGCTAAATGGCACGCCTCGGAATCTAAGGATCAATTCAAGATTAAATAAAATGAGGGCCATGCAATTGTCACTTTTGTTCGGCATGGCGCACCTCAATCTACTCTAAAAGAATCGTAATAAACTCCAAGCGCGCCCAGTAATAAAGCAGATAATTGAAAATTTAGGGACGTTTATTCCAAAACCATCTTGTTGTAACATATTTAAAATTAGCAAACAAATACAAATGCATCCTGCAGAACCAATTCTAATTGACATTTTACACCCCGAAATTCACCACTCCAGATCAGAAATTATGCAAACAGGCACGGCAAAAGAATCAAATTCTTTTTCCCTATTACAAGTTACAATCTTACTTTTGTCTTTATGGATGTAACATAAGATTTCACCAAATACATACAACTTATGCACATGTAACTTAATGGTACACCTGTGCCTAATGTCACAACCTCATCCTTGAATTTTAGCCAAATATCTAAGTCACAGAAATACCAACAAGCTGGGACAGCCGGTATATTGGATCAACAAGACAAATAAAAGAAGTTGGAGCTGAGATCGTCGTTCAAGCTAATCTAGACATTAAATTTCTAAATATGATAAGTGATAGTTTCACTTCTACATTATCCATGAAACTTGAAATTCTACAACCAAATAAGAACAAATAATCGGTGAAAACATATTTCCTTGACACAGGTTTCACAAGGAGAAAGATAAGTAGTCATTGACATTGTGACAACACAAAACTCAAATGGAAACAGCTCCCACACACACCACTGTATAGACCAAAAAACCAACAGATCTCCATTCAATATCAATATATACAAAGAAGGATCATTAAAATTTAATTAAGAACTAACCTCAAAACTCTAGTAGAGGAGATCGAAACCAAACCAAAACAGAGAACCGGACCGGAAACTAACGAACGGAAACTCGGTCGAACTCGAACTCGATGGCAATCGGACCCAATTCTAGTGACTCAAACCTCGACCAAAAAGCTGCTTGTACTTGAACGATTTGAGACCTATTTGCAGCTGATTTCGCTGCTTCTAATGGTTGGAGTTCGGAGTTGATCAAGCGCGTTTTCCGCTAGGATTTTAATTGGGGTTAAGGTCGTTTCTTCAGTTGAGTTTGTGTGTGACCGAACTGGAAAGGAAAGGATCGTTTTCCGGCGGGTTTCAGTCAATGAGGTCTAGTAGTTACTGATTTTCTGAGGCTAGGGATGAGGGAGACGAGGGTTTGGGGGTTGGGGTCGTTTCTCTGTTGAAAAGCTGCGCAGCCTTTAAGCTCTTCAGCGTTATTTTTGTGTATTCTGTATTTTCGTCTCTGCTCCTTTAGCTGATAAGCATTAGTTTATATACACGGAATTAGGTCTAAGGTCTTTTTTTTTTGTGTATTTGCCAATTAGTCCCTAGGTCCTTTTGTGTTAAGTCCTTAGGGTCTTTTTATTTATTTTTTGTCCTAAAGAAGAGTCTAGAAGGGTCCCTAGACTACACAATGTCTTTTAAAATAAAATAGAAATACTATACCATGTCAAAACTAATCCTAATTAATTAAATTAAACATGAAACTATTTTTGTATTTTCGAAATTATATAAAGATAAAAATAGGGTACTATTTTTTGTATTTTTTTCAAATTTATGAAAAATACATAAACTAAAATATTTTTTGTAATTTTCATTTCTGGTAATAAAATAAAGTAAAAGAGTCAAAATGAGTTGAAATAGCTATATTAGACCTAAATTAAATATTTACGGGCTAAAATATAAAAAATCTTGGGGAGGGTAAAAAATCACATGTCTACAGCTGCCCCTCTTTGACTGGAAATACGAAGTATTTTCAGACAAAGAACGACTAGACAAGTTTTTTGACCCGACCCTTATTTAGAGAGACTAAAACTAAGAGAAAGGGGAATGTGACCAAGCCCTGGTATCTGAGCTGCCTACATATCCTTGGCTATAAAGGAATCAGGCTACGTGCAGTTCAGAGGTGAGTGAGGTGATGGAGTATGCCGAGGTGGAGAGCCAGTCGAGGTGCCGTTCCGCCGAGGTTCCGGTCCGCGGTCCTGTTATTACATCAAAATCAAATGAAATGAAAAATACTAGATAAGCCTGACAACTATGAGTTACAAGATTCCTATCTATAAGTCTTCTGAAGCTTGATCTTAAGTTTTGAATGGTTCTTCATGCAGACTTTAGATTTGAACCTTGGCGCTTGCTAGTTGCAGGTGCTAGTTCATCCTGCTTCGGCTTTTCGGATCAGGACCAGGCATGCAGTGTTTGTGGCCTTGGCCATGTCTTGAGCAGCCCACATCTTTCATCAACTTCTGCATTTGGATTAACTTCTTGCCTTTCTCCTTTTTCTTTCTTTATTGTGACTAACTTCTGTTGATCACCTCAGACTGTTGCCTCGTATTCTTGCCGCGAGCTTCTTTTGTTGCTGACCTGAATTGCATTCCGAAGTGAATTCTCTTATTCTCCAGGTAGGCGCCTGATTGCTAACACTTGAACTGTCTTCCTTCAAAACTTGAATTGTTTTCCCTTGAAACTTGAACTGTCTTCCCTTGTTCTCCAGGTGGGCGCCTGAATGCTGAAACTTTCTGTGTTCCCTTGTTTTCTATATGGGTGCCTGCAATCAAAACAAACAGAACAAACAAAATTTTCTGCCCCAGTTTGCACTAGGAAGATTTGTGAGTTGTTAGCAAAATTGTAAACCACTTATACTACTGATGCAATGATGAGAGTAAACTAAAGACTAGACTAGGATGTGCGTCTCCTACGAGTAAAACCAAAAACTTTGACTAGCAAATGCGTCTGCTAAAATAAAACTTGAATGAACCAAACTAGGAAGCGCATCTCCTAAGGGTGAATTTAAATGACCAAGGTTAGGAAGTGCGTCTCCTAGGGTTGAAAAATTCAACGACTCATACTAGGAAGTGCGTCTCCTATGAGTGAACTATCAATTTAGGAAGTGCGTCTCCTATGGGTGAAAATCAACTTAGGAAGTGCGTCTCCTAGGGGTGAAGCTTCAATGACTCAAACTAGGAAGTGCGTCTCCTATGAATGAACTATCAATTTAGGAAGTGCGTCTCCTACAGGTGTATCCTGAAAGACCTAGACTAAGAAATGCGTCTCCTAGGGGTGAAACTTCAATGACCCAAACTAAGAAGTGCGTCTCCTATGAATGAACTGTCAATTTAGGAAGTGCGTTTCCTACTGGTGTATCCTGAAAGACCCAGACTAAGAAGTGCGTCTCCTAGGGGTGAAACTTCAATGACTCGAACTAGGAAGTGCGTCTCCTATGAATGAACTATCAATTTAGGAAGTGCGTCTCCTACAGGTGAAACTTCAATGACTCAAACTAGGAAGTGCGTCTCCTATGAATGAACTATCAATTTAGGAAGTGCGTCTCCTACAGGTGTATCCTGAAAGACCCAGACTAAGAAGTGCGTCTCCTAGGGGTGAAACTTCAATGACTCGAACTAGGAAGTGCGTCTCCTATGAATGAACTATCAATTTAGGAAGTGCGTCTCCTACAGGTGCAAATCGACTTAGGAAGTGCGTCTCCTATGGGTAAAATCTCAATGACTCAAACTAGGAAGTGCGTCTCCTATGAATGAACTATCAATTTAGGAAGTGCGTCTCCTATGGGTGAAACTTCAATGACTCAAACTAGGAAGTGCGTCTCCTATGAATGAACTCTCAATTTAGGAAGTGCATCTCCTATGAATGAATTCTCAATTTAGGATGTGCGTCTCCTATGGGTGAAAATAAACTTAGGAAGTGCATCTCCTATGGGTGAAAATAAACTTAGGAAGTGCGTCTCCTACGGGTGAAAATAAACTTAGGAAGTGCGTCTCCTATGAATGAACTCTCAATTTAGGAAGTGCGTCTCCTATGGGTAAAATCTTAATGACTCAAACTAGGAAGTGTGTCTCCTATGAATGAACTATCAATTTAGGAAGTGCGTCTCCTATGGGTAAAATCTCAATGACTCAAACTAGGAAGTGCGTCTCCTATGAATGAACTCTTAATTTAGGAAGTGCGTCTCCTAGGGGTGAAACTTCAATGACTCGAACTAGGAAGTGCGTCTCCTATGAATGAACTATCAATTTAGGAAGTGCGTCTCCTACAGGTGCAAATCGACTTAGGAAGTGCGTCTCCTATAGGTAAAATCTCAATGACTCAACTAGGAAGTGCGTCTCCTATGAATGAACTATCAATTTAGGAAATGCGTCTCCTATGGGTGAAAATAAACTTAGGAAGTGCGTCTCCTATGGGTGAAAATAAACTTAGGAAGTGCGTCTCCTACGGGTGAAACTTCAATGACTCAAACTAGGAAGTGCGTCTCCTATGAATGAACTATCAATTTAGGAAGTGCGTCTCCTATGAATGAATTCTCAATTTAGGAAGTGCGTCTCCTAAAAGAATAACTTGAAAGACCTTGATTAGGAAGTGCGTCTCCTACAGGTAAAACTTCAATGAACTAGACTAGGAAGTGCGTCTCCTAGGGCCGAGCTTAAATGACTCAAACTAGGAAGTGCGTCTCCTATGGTAAAACCATCAGTGACTCAAACTCACATGATCCAAACTAGGAAGTGCGTCTCCTAAGGGTAAAATCTCAATTTAGGAAGTGCGTCTCCTACAACAAAATATAACTTGAAAACCCTGACTAGGAAGTGTTTCTCCTAGGGGTGATATGTGATCTTCTCAATAGCCTTTGCGTAAGCAGAATTGGGGCATTACACCTGAAAATTTCAAGCTTCCCAGCTTTGGTATGAACATATCTTCCGTCCCTGTTTCAGACAAAGAAAACTTGTGAGTTTAAACATGGTGGTTAGTTCGTGGACTTGACTTTGCGGCGATTGCTCCTTCACTTGCCATGATAACTTTGATTTCATCTTGAAAAGACGTTGCTTGCTTATTGACTAACCAATTTCTTTGCCACCCTTATCACAGAAAATAACTCTTCTCCGTACAGACCCAATACCCTTTATCCGTTGCATTGCTCATGAACTGACATTTACCAACCCTTTGTGTTTCACATGAATCCCAAAGCACGTCAGTTGCCACCTACTCAGTGCGTATATTGTTCTTTCTTGACTTAAACCACTGGCCTTGGCCTTGAGGTCTATTGTTCCTTCACTTTCCATGATAACTTTGATTTCCGCTCGGAAGACCTTGCTTTTCATTGGTTAACCACTTTCTCTGTCAACCTCATCACAGATAATAGCTTTGATCCGTTCACCCAACATCCTCTATCTGTTGCATTGTTCATGAATTGATATATACCAAACCTTTGTATTTCGCATGAATCCCCAAGGCATGTTGATTGTTACCAACTCAGTGCCGCGTTATTCTTTCCTGACTTATGCCACTTTGATGTGCTAGCCAAATCCCGTTTTGTGCAATTGGAAAGCTGGTGGCCAATTTTAAAGTCATTTCTCACTTGTTCTGACCAAACAGACTCAGGAAGAGGAAGTAAACAAGACAAAAGGAACAGAGTAAAGGACAATGGAAAGAGATGATTCCTAACAAGAAAACTACAAAGTAGAAACCTATCAGATATGGATACCAATTCTAATGACCACGACATGCACCTGTGGCCTATTCTGTCATGCAAGTCTGATGTTCAGCTTTGTTGTACCCTTTGCCGTGAAACCGGGCTTCAATGCTCCGCTTATCAAATCTAATTCACAATCCTTATTCGGCTTGTAGTGCCCGAAGGGTTTTCACCATCAAGCCTCTCTGATTTTGTTCTTTCTCTCAACTCACCATCGCCTTATGGTGCCTGTGAAGGTTTTCACCAATAAGACACTCTCATTTTATTCTTCTCTTTGTTCAGAACGGAGTGTTGCCCCTGATATGAATCACCTCTAGTTGCTCTACTTGGCATCTCTCGAAGATTGGTCGGAAGGTCTTTCTTTGGACCGTAACGTGGGCTTTTGGATAGGGTTAGAAAGAAAGGGTATCAAAGGCTCAAAACAATTCAAATGGGTTCAAAATTACAACTTTCGGAATCAGATTTCTTATAACAACCACAATTTTTGCCCCAGTTTCTTTGCTTGGGGACTTTTGGATTTTGTTTTGGTGGGACCGAACCGTGAAGCTGCCTACGTATCCTTAACACGAATCAGGTCGAACGTAGTTCATGTCATAGAAATTACTTTGTTGTTGTGACTTTTTCTTTCTTTTCCTTCCATTTTCTCTTCTTTTCCTTCCATTTTCTCTTCTTTTCTTTTCTTTCTTTCTTTTGCCTTTTCTTCTTCTCTTTTTTTTCTTTTTCCTTTTTCTTTTTCTTTTTCTACTCT